ATATATATATATATATATATATATACACACATATATATAGGGTGTTTGGATCACATGATGGCTTAGAAGATTAAGTTGTGGAAATGTAGTTTGTAAATGAGGATGATGAATATTTTTACCCTTTAAGTGTTTGCTGTTATGAATAGTTTGACACACTTATATTAACGTTTAGGAAGGATGAATTATTACAAAAAATTGTTAATAAATTATGATGTAATTTGATTATTAATGACTTGAGGTGTTTTGATGATAGTGATGTTTAAGGACTTAATGTGAGATGTTGATAAAATTGTTAAACTAGTTAAGCTATTAATTTGCATACCCTGTGCCATCCCTATACTCGTATCCTTCTATATCCATACTTTAAGTTTCTAAAAACTTAATTTTTTTATAATATACTTGAGATTTATCTAATTCTTACTTTTTTTTAAAATTTATGTTAGATGAAACTTGATTAATGTAATTTTATAATTGTTACTTTACGTTGAAATTCTTATTTATTATATTTTTTTTTATAAAAAAATATATATTGAATTAATTTTTGGATGAATACGAATATACTAGATATCCGATAAAGAGAAAAAAAGGAAACAAATTTTATACTCATCGGATATCAGGACAGGAATGGGTATAAGGTACAAACTTAGCGACAAGATTAGGATATTGAAACCCGCTCCTGCCTCACCTTGTTGTGATCCCTAATTAACATCAAATCAGTTTATGTTTGAATTTATATCTTTTTATTAAAAGTATGCAGTGGAAAACACGTATAAATAATAATATAAATAGATGAAAAGGCTGATTAAAAAATAGATTAGTGAAAAATATGCAAATAGCTAGGCATAAAAAATATTATTTTATATGAAAATAAATATATATATATATATATATACTAAGAAAATAATGGTCAAATGTTAAAATTTAGGTTTAATGGTCATCCAATGTGAATATAAAAAAAATTATTAATACGATTTTTAAGATAATTATTATAAAGTCAATAAAATATTTTTCTCTTAAAAAATACCTTAATTGTAATATGTATAATTCATGATAAGTATTTTTCTCATTAATTTTAAATATTTATATTTCATAGAAATAAATATTACAATATTATTTGTTATTATAATATATATATATATATATATATAATATTATTATGATAGTTCTAATTTGATTTAAATACATTAAATGATATATTACTATTAATTCTTTAAAAAAAATTGAAATGTAAATTATAATAAATAGACGTTTCTATTATAATTCAAAGAGCCGATAAGACAAATTAAAAAGAAAAATATTGTAATTACAAAATATGGAAATGAACAAATTATTTATAATGATTCTATATTATGGAGTTTGAATTTATTAAATAAAAAAAATATTTGTAATTTTTAATACCAAAATTAATCTTATTAATAAAAAAATAATATATTAAATAATATTTATTTATGTAAGATATTTTTATAATTTAATATTTTTTTAATCAATTATATTTATGTTTTATATTTGGATTGTAATTAGTAATTAACGTAATAATTTAATTTATATTATTATTTTAAAATATAATAATTATGCTAAATATTTATAAAATTTTGTTTTTAAGAATGTATGCATCATTGATTCTATATGTATATATTAAATAATATAAATAAAATAATAATAATTATTTTTAAAATTTAAAAATACTTTTTTATGTTGCTTTGACCATTACATTAATAAATTTATAATTTAATTTTTGCATTAATATGCTTATAATAAATAGATACTCCTATTATAAGTTTGCTTATGGGTGTAAGAGAATTAGATTGAGTCTGGTTTGGTTGAATTTATTACTCGATTTTATCAAAATTTAACGAATTAGATTGGGTTGGATTGAATTTTGTGTTTGTTTTTTAAAATTCAACCCAACCCAATTATGAACCGGTTAGATTAGTTTGGGTCAATAGGGTAAATATAATTAAATTTATTTATTTATTATAAAAATTTAAATATTTTATAATAGATGCAAATCATTTGACAGCTTGTTACAAATGCAATGTTATCAACAACAACAAAAAAGTAAAAAATGATACAAACTAAATTTGAAAATAAATTTATTGATTTGTTGCATTATTATCGACTAAATTTTAAAATAAATATAGTGTATTGTCATAATGTTATCAATCCAAAAACACAATATTTATACAGTACCAAGTTTTTTATCGTGTTGGATTGGGTCTAATCCAAACTCTAAAAAAATTCAATCTGAACTCATTTGTTGGTTTATGTCAATTCTTGTCCATGGGTTATTCATATCTATTTATACCCCTAAGATTGTTAGACTCGTCAGGTCACCATGTCTGAGATACTGTCTGTTTTAACACTCATTGAACCATTATAATTTTTTTTCTTCTAAAAAAGGTGCCTTAGTTGATTAAGGAATGAGGTGTTTATAAATTACTCTTAACCCTAATTTTTAATGTGAGACTTTTAGTCATATCAAAACAAACCAACAATCAAGGCTAAGGGACAAGAATCACCTACGTCTTCCTTCTAGTGTCAATGTTCCAATAGTAACCTTGCTGATATTGTTAAGATCAACACATCCGAAGTATTGTACATTTTGATACTTGTTAGCCCATCATGATTTTGTCCTTTAAAAAACATCTCAAGAGTTAAAGAGTTATATATATACATATATATATATATATATATATATATAAGGCTTGAATATATTCTTAGTCTCTTAAATTTGACGTAAATTTATTTTTAGTTTCTCAAATTTAAAATTAATCATTTTAGTCTTTATAATTTAAAAAAATCTTATTTTAGTTCTTATACTCAAATTTTGTTAAAAAAAAAAAACAAATAGGATCATATAAAATCTATTTACCAGTATCTCTGTCAATGAAATCACATTGAACCTAAATGATAGATAATGAATAATTGTCTCAATCTATCACTCTATCATATATTAATGATGTAAGGGAAAGTAATATTAAAATAATTTTAAATTTAAAAGAGAAAAAAATAAATTTATTCTAAATTTAAGAAATTAAAAATATATTTAAAAAATTGCATTAAAATTGGAGAAATTGTAGGTCATGTTAGAATGTCAACTGTGTAGTTAGTTCTTGTGTCACATGCAAAACGGCAGTTTCTTTGAAGAGGCTATAAAGTATAAACCGACGCGTCTCCATTCAACAGTCTCTCTCTTCTTTGTGCTCAATAAACACTAACTTTCTCTCATCAATTTTCGTGATCGCCCGAAAGCATTTCATAACAGATCTTTTGGAGGTACGTTTAGGGTTTGTAAAAATCAGATTCTAACTTGAATTAGGATTGCATTTTCCGGGATTTCATCTTTCAGCTGCAGATTCAATTTGCTGTGGATGCATGCGACCAACACCCACCCAGGATAACCTCAATTCTCAGGTATTTCAATTTTCGTCTTATATGGAATCATAATATCCAAAATTGTTTGAAGGTTTTTTTTTATAATTTTTTTTATATACATGAATTAAAAATACTGGCCCAAACCAGTTAACGTTCTGCCTACCAAAAAACTAAATATATATGACCTTTTGGAATTGTTAGAAAATATCAATATAAGATAAAGAACCTGTTTTTATTTATTTTTTAATTACAAATTGTTACCTTATTTCAATATGTTTCTTGTTTTCAAACCACTTTTATTTTCTTTTCCCATACAAATCTTTGGAAACAAGAACCGACAGAAAACAGGAAATAAAAACAACAGTAAACGGAGATTATAAACTGTTGCACTTTTGATCTGATATTGTAATTGGCAAATGAGAATATAACTGGAGAGGACAGCCCTGTAAGTGTTATGTTTTCATCGAAACACCCATTACATGCATATAAGAAACAAAATTAAAAATTCGATGCCCCAAACATATTTGGTACTTGTTGGTTGGTATGATATGAATGGTAGGTATGTCATGAATCACTGTATATGTTTTTAACTAAAACTATTCATTTGCTTGACAATACAGGTTGATAAGAAGGACAAAACAGAATGAAAGTAGGATCTGGTAAAGGGAGAAAAGTCTGTCTTATAATCACAGGTGTTGTGATTGCAATTGTCTTGCTAATTGTGATACTGGCATTGACTGTGTTCAAAGCCAAGCATCCTGTTACCACCGTGAACTCGGTGAAGCTAGAGGATTTTCATTTGGGCTTGGATATAGCAAAACTAAAGGTAGATTTGAATGTGACCCTGGGTGTGGATATCTCAGTGAAGAACCCGAATAAGGTAGGATTCAAGTTCTCAGACAGCGTGGCTAACCTCAATTACCGAGGGCAGCAGATTGGTGAAGTCCCTGTTCCTGCTGGAGAGATTTCATCCGATGCAACCAAAGAATTTAACCTTAGCCTCACCATTATGGCCGACCGTTTGCTCTCTGATTCCCAGCTTTACTCTGATGTCACATCTGGTACATTGCCCCTAAACACTTTTGTGAAGATTTCTGGCAAAGTCCGCATCTTAGGCTTTATCAAAGTCCATGTGGTTTCCTCCACATCTTGTGATTTTGCAGTTGATATTTCTACTAGAGCAGTTGAGAACCAAGAGTGCAAATACAAGACAAAACTTTGATTAGTTGATTTTAGTTTAGGAGTGAAACTAGACTCTTGATTAGTAGACTATATATACAAGTATTCTTTATGTTCAATTAATTTGTTCATATTCTACTTTGTTTCATTCGTAATTGTGATTTGCATCCTACTGGATCTACTCTCTCCTTTCCCTCTTGGGCTGCTTCTGGGAATTTATTTGATATCAAGGTTCCCATTTTCGTTACTTTACCAGAATGTTACCTTGAAGTTAAGCTCCATATCTATATGCCACTGTAATTTTAATTATTATGTAATTAAATGTTATTAAGGTATTGGTAACATGTTTGAATTAGTTCATATAATGTGTTTTAAGAATTCAATGCATCATACATCTCTGTTGATACTTATTATTACACTAGCAAGGCAATTTGAGAGTCCGGTGCGGGAAAAGTTTTTCAGTTCTCTTATTATATGTACTCCTACCCCCAAGTTATAATATCTGACATGTGCAATAGTTGAGAGTACGACCTCAACTATGAACCACAAGGGCCCATGAAGTCTTTGAGAGTAAATGGCTCCTTTAATGAAAAAGGCAGTAAGGCAGGCATAATTCTGGAAAACAATGAGGAAACCATGCTCGAACAATCCTTGAAGCTTGAATTTAGGGACTCCAACAATCATGCCGAGTACGAGGTATTACTAGTCAGTCACCACCTCACCCATGAAGTCGGTGTCAAAAGGTTAAAGTGTTATAGTGACTTCCTACTAGTCACTAGACAAATACTCAGAATATATTAAACCAAAGAATTGCAAATATAGAGATATTATTTACTCACTAAAGGACTCAGTCAATTTTGAAAATCTTAAAATCACGCACAAACATGCTAAAGCAGCCAATAAAGTCATTTTAAATGAACTAAGGAAACGTCCCGAACCCTCAAAGGGAGCATGGATGAACGAGTTTCCTAGCATCCTCTAGGCATATCACTACATCACTCAATCCACTACTATAGAGACTCACTTCTGCCTAACATTCGGTGCATACGCCATGATATAGTTGAGCTCGATGAACCAACCTACAAACACTCTCATTTCCAACCTGCAACAAACACTAAGAACATGAGCATAAAGTTGGACCTAATTAAAAAACAAGAGAAGAAACAAAGACTAATGAAGCAATATGCAAACAATGGGTTGCTCACCGCTACAACTCCAAACTAAAGCCCAGATCAATCCACCTAAGTGACCTCGTTTGGCGGGCTACATTATAAGCACAACAAGACAAACAAGTAGGCAAACTTTCCCCAAGTTGGGACAACCCCCTTTTGTGTCATTGAAAACTTAAGCAATGGTGCACATCAACTTGAAGAACTAGGGGACAAACCAATCCCCAAGACATGGAACACCACCTACCTAAAGCACCACTTTAGCTAGCCTCATATAGCTAGGTTATGTACTTTTTCTCTTATGTTAATTAGTTTTTTTTCCATAAAAAAGAAAGTGTTTTGGCTAAGAAGGTTTTAACAAGGCACCCCAATAACATGTAAAGAATTTCAACTGACTCATAAATAAAATTATTCCTTTCTTATCTCAAACTACAACAACTACTATATGGCAATCCCCACATCACTTATAAACAAACTTTCAAGTTTGTTTGTGATTCTAAGCTTCCAAGCTCATGCCTTGACATTCACAAACTTTCAAGTTTATGTGCAATTTCGAGCTTTTGAACTCTTGCATCGTAACATTCACAAAATTTTGAGTTCATGAGTGATTATAAGCTTTTGAGCTATTTCTCATTAACATTCTCAAACTTTCAAGTTCGTGTGTGATTCTAAGCTTTTGAGCTCTTGCACCTTAACATTCATAAACCTCCAAACTCACATGCAACCTTGAGCTTCCAAGTTCTCAAACCCTAACGAAGAACTTCCAAGCTCACATGCTTTGAACAAACACAAATGCTCGCACACTCATAGCTACAAGTCCTTTAACTCATATGCACACAACATAAACAAGCACACAAACTATGTGACATTGATTACACTGAAACTTTGTGCAACAAATGATATCAAGTAAACAAGCCTCATCAATACATTCAAATATAAAATCTTTTATTCAAACACAAAACGACAAAAGCAAGAAAATATGGAACAACATCAGTAAACAAACACCTTGCCATCTAAAATTCCTAGCTTCCCTTGGCAACAACATCACCATAACCCTTGACCCCTTTGGAAGCCTCATCGATGATAGTAACATCTCCCTCAACAATAGCTAAAACAACAAAAGCCTTTCCAGTTGTCCCCTCACCAACCTCAACATCCTCATAAGCCCCAAACATGTCCTCCACGCATTGATTGAATCCTTCGTCTCATCCTCATCAGGGAGGTCAACTACATTCACAAGTTCCCTATCAATAACATCAAAATCAACATTTAGCTAGCTACAAGGAAAATTCGAAGCGAAAAAGGCCGCTTGACGAATAGCCTTCTAAAAACTACGTGCATTCTCATCAAACAAATGCATTTCACCAAATTGTCACTTCTTATCTAATCGATGAAGCTACTTATCATCTTTTAGGTACAAAAAGAGAGGAAGCATGCGCGTGTTAGTCTGAAGCAACTTTTTTCCATTCAATCTGTTAAGGAACCATGTAGACAAAGATGATTTTGTTATTAGACATCATAAATGATATTCATGCAAAACATTTATCTTATAAATGAAGTGTTTCATTTGTGAAACTCAATATCCTAATAACTGATTGTCTTAACTCTATTCATCTTAAAGCTTAATTTGAAAAAAATTTCTCTTAGAAAAGTGTCTATGTTTATTATCAGTAAAACTTAAAACCTAAAGGGTCTAAGATTATTTTTTGACCTAATAGTAAATTAAAATAATAATAGTATGAATTTTCAAGGGAATGTGATTATGATTCAAGTTATAAGTTTTTATCTCTTTCTTGGTCCTAAGTAAAATTTTGAATTTAAAAAACTTGCATGGAGCACCACTTATGAAATTTTTCCTTAATTTGCTATCTTTATTTCTATTAGGCAAGGGCCCCCTCTATAACCCAAAATGTAAAAAGGAAAAGTGTTTAGAACCCTATATTGTTGATGGCTTGGGAGCATAACAATCTTCTTCTTCTCCTTATTTTATCATGTTTGAATGTTATTTTCTTTTCCTTAATTTGTTTGATGGCTATGATTGAACAATCATCTCTTTTCTAAGATTGGACATATCCCTTAATGCTTTAATGAGAATTGATTGTGTTTTCATGATTAGTTTCTTCTCTCAATTCTTTTCTTATTGTAATTTATTATGCAAATAACTTGATCACTTCTTTGCATAACCATAAACGTTTTAGGGAGGTATTGAAAGATGAACCTAAATGTTGGGACCATAGAAAAAAAATAGAATTTAAATCACGAAGGTAGGTTTAATACTTCAAAAATCAATTAAATTATCAACAAAGATAATGAATTTAATTAAAGATAGTCATCGAGATAATATGACCAATTCAATTAAGTATACGTCCATGTCTTGAAAGAGAACAAATGTTACATTAGGCTAATTCACATTTAATGGATAATCACTCAAAGTGTGATTGTTGTATGAACCCTAATCCTAGAAGTTTCTCTCAAATTCAATATACTTTTTTTATTGCAAAAATTCAATGTACTTATTTTTATTTATTCGTAATCTTTATTTATTTTTATCAATCAAATAATTCTCTCTCTCTCTCTATCTATCTATCTAATTGAATCACAATAATTTAGTAAGCATAAATCAAATCCCCGTGAAAGAATGTTAAATTTTTTTACTTGACAATAAACCCATGTTTTTTCCTTCAGTTGGTCAATCAATAAAAAAAATTTAGTATTAAAAAATTTATTATTAATGTCAATAAATTTACTATGCATATTAATTTATAATTACATGAAAATTTGAAATACCTATACATAATTAATACATATATTCTATATTTTAAATTTTAAGTTAACAAATTAAATTAATTTAATTAATTCAATTTATGATGGCTTAAATATAAATAAATAAAATAAATAATGCAAATTGACCATAAAAATAAACATGCTTAATTTTAAAAATATAAAAAAAAATTGTTTAACATAAAAATTTAAGAACACAAAAGTATGAATTGTAATTCATCCTTAACTTTTTATTTATAAGGAAGAATATTGAGAATAATGATTTAGCTAAACCCATTTGATATGTGTGGAAGTGAATGAAATAGACACATTCTTTGGAACACTCTAATTACTTTCTTTCAAACACTCTAATTATTATTGGTTGAAATTTATCAAAAATTATAAATATTTTAAAGATTCTAGATCTCATTTAATGAGTCAATAGTTTGTTAATGTATTTTACATGTTAAATATTTATTATATAAATATAAATTATTATAAATTATAAGTTAAATTGTAATTTTGGTCCCTTTATTTTTGTCAATCCACAATTTTAGTCCTCTTATTTTAAAAATAAAGATATTTAGTCTTTCTATTTTTAAAAATACAAAACTTTGGTTTAGTCAATTTGATATTTGTTAATTGTTAAATTTTGACATTGTCTAGTAACCTGTTATCACTCAAGTAATGTGATATTTATTGATATGATATTTAACGATAAAAATTAAAAAAAAAATGACATATAAAATATCTTTATTTCAACAAGTGACTAATATTTATTTTATTAATAAATCTTATTTGAATATTTTTTTTTCAAATGTCATGTTATTAATTGTTACATTACTTAAGTATGAGTAAATATTAAAATTTAATAATTAATAGATGTCAATTTGAAAGAATGACCAAAATTTCATATTTTTAAAATTGAAGGGACAAAATATCTCTATTTTAAGATAAAGAGACTAAAATTGTAGACTGACAAAAATAGAGTGATCGAAAGTATAATTTAGCTAAATTATATATGTTTTTATGTATATAACATATATTAGCTTAAAATTTATAATTTTATATAAATAAATATTTTTAAATATATAAATTATATTTAATTTATGAAAAATAATTTATGCTGTTACATAAGATTATTTTTTATTATTTATAATTTTTTAAAATTATTAAATTTAATTTAAAAAAATATGATACATACAAATTAAAATAAATATGAAGTTATCTTTTTTTATAATAGAAAAACTCTGGTCGAAACAAGTATTTAAGAAAGTTATTTCGTTAAGAAAAGTTTATGTAAATAAGTATGAGTAAGTAAATTTCGCTATAGAACCCACCATGTGGATATTTTTGCTGAATAATAAAGAAAAGCTTATGTAAATAAGTATTAATAGGTAGATTTTGATGTAAAACTCAGCATTTGGATATTTTCATTAAACAATAGAAAGTATTACCATTAGAGAAAGAGTATAAGTTAAGAAACATTTGTTTTAAATCGAATTATAAGTATATTATAAAAATGTAAGTATAAAAATATAATATTTTTTTATGTTTGTTATAAGTTTTGAAAAATTATTTTCGAATGGTAAATGATCTTAACTCATTCTTAACTCTTTTAGGGTAGATTAAAGGAAAAAGTATATGAGACTTGATTCTGTGAAAGGAAACGTTCAAGGCAAGAAAATAGATTGTTAAGATGACGTTCAATTATGACAGCTTCATTCTTATGTAGTCATTTTCATATGTATCTTGTGAATCTAATTATGTTATTAGAGATGAACATTCTCTTTATCATCCAAATGAGTTTTGTAGGATTTATTTATTTATTTATTTTTCTTCATCTTGAAAATCATTCTGAATTATATTCTAATATGTTTATTATGAGTTTATTTTGAAACACTCGGCTGAGAAATTAGTCGATACATTATTTTACCATTATTATAAGTTGTATATTTAAATACTTGTCATTATTAAACAGGTAGATTGTTCATAAATTGTCGAGTAAAGTAAGTTTATAAAATACTTATTCTTGGAGTAAGTGAATTTCTCTAGAGAGAGAGGAGGGTTCATTTACTCTAATAATAAGTTTATTTAAACTTACTTTACTCAATAACTCATATTTTATATTAAATTTTAACTATTTAATTGTTAAATTCATTTTTTAATCCATTAGATATTTTCAGTGAATAATAAAGAAAAACTTATGTAAATAAGTATTAGTAGGTAGATTTTGATGTAGAACCCACCACTTGAATATTTACATTAAACAATAGAAAGTATTACCATTAGAGAAAGAGTATAAGTTAGGAAACATTTGTGTTTAAAACAAATTATAAGTATATTATAAAAATGTATAAGTATAAAAATATAATATTTTTATGTTTGTTATAAGTTTTGAAAAATTATTTTTGAATATTATCTATTTTTGTGAAAGTTTATCTATCATATTTTCTATATTTTTATCCTCATGAACAAATAATAATCCCATAAAATGTGAAATGTTATGTTTTAATACCTTTGTAATATATATTTTTAATTTAAATTATTTTTAGTTTTAAAAATATTTTAAAAAAATGAGTATGCAATTAAATATATTTATTAAATATGTAAAATAATATTCTAATTAAAACAAACGACTTTTTACTATTTAATTTAAAGGAAAAGAAAAGAGAAAAAAAGTTAAATTTTATTTGATTAAACAGATGTATTTTT